AACTCTATCTGTTTCTAAAACATAAATTAACACCGTTAGTGTACCAAACAAACAGTACAGTCTATTAACAGAGGGAAAAACAGAGACATCAATAACGTACCGAACAGTAGCTAGAGAATAGGAAAAATGAGTCAACAAAGCAAATATTGTTTTATAATGAACATCAAATTGTGATTGGTGAACAAATAAGACACAGTCATACAAGGTCCAAGAAAGTTTGTGTGGCGGTGGAGCGTTTCACTTTACTATTGGTGAGTTTGTTTATCGATCGCATTTCACAGAATATCTTCGGCTCTTTCTGAGTTTCTTAGGGCTTACTCCAGTGAATGAACTAAGTGAATGTACATTTTTAATTCTTATAAAAATAAAGTCATCCATTATAAAGAATGTTAATTAAACTTAAATAATGTTAGTCAATAAATTAAACAGAATAAAAACAGTATAAACATATCAACCTACAAAAAATAACTCCGCCTGGAGTCCCTCTGAGGCTACTTCCGGTACCAAGCCCGGATAAAGGAGCAGGGTTGGGGATGGGGTTAGCGATACAAATATTCCATGTCCTTAATTCAAATCAAAGAAGTATGATTATTCGAATGAAAATATATTTAACAGGTGATTTACCATCGGTAAAATATCATTTATCTATCATTCTATTAACACAAACAACAACAACAGATTCTTGTAAATATCCATTATGTAATAGTCTTCTGACACCATACATTTTTAAAAACAATAACCTAATCAGATCAGATTGAAGTAATTCATTTTTTCTTTTTTTTTTAAAAATTACCCATAGATAGGGATTGTATGAATATCATTACAGGGTTTCAAATTTCGGATAACACTTAGAGATTGTAAAACACATGTACAGGTTATTCTGAACCAATCACAACTTGGTTTGAATTTATTCACCTAATATAATTGGTACTATTGACTTCTTTGTGAATGTTCTTTTTTCATCGTTTATAAATTGTCTACTTGGATAAAGGCTTTAAATCAGTCAGGAAGTCATAATAGATAATTAGTATTGAATAGTGTATGTATATGTAGAATGTCACATCAATAAACAATAATGACCTATTCGTGTTTAGCAAAATTTTGGTCGATAAATACGTTGTCCTGGTAATGAGATTAACATAGAAATATAGTCTTGAATAGCTTTGAAATGATCATAAATCGATAGTCAAATATCTCAATCCGAATGTCTCATTTTTTTGCAATGAAATCAATTCAGTGTCATGATGTACATTGTTGAGAAGTGTCGAATTCATATATCAATAATCACGTTCATTGTTATGACTTATAAAATTGAATCAATAAATAACTTTTGTAATCCTGCACCAAATAAAACGAAATGACGAGCCTGATGTGATGATATCCATCCAGGGACTTATTAATAATAACCGTACTAATACTAATACTCATCATCTGATATGAATTTACTTGATGTAAATAACAAAACTCATTCATCATGAAGTTTTTCTGTATTCGTCTGTGTTGATCATTCCCATGGTGCCCACATAACTGGTAAACACTAACAGGCTTGTGAATTTCATTTCATACTGTCAAATTTCAATTTGAAAGTACATTGATTCACTCAACGGAGACAGTTCAGTTATCATTTCAACTAAAATTATGCTCAAGTAAATCTACAATATATCAAATGAATTTCAAATTTATTATGATGTACATGTGGTGTTAATCAAAGATTGAGATTGATATCAGTTGGAGTATCAGTAGAATTCAGTGAGAAAAATTTACCTAGAGATTTAAGGGTAGCCTTTAAAATTAGCCACAAGTCAATATATGAATATACAGCACACTAGAGAGATCAGTGGAGATTTGCCCAACTATCAATATTAATGTTAATAGAAGATATTAGGCAAAGAGATGATTCCTAAAGAAAATATGAATTCGTGGAGCGAAGAAAATAAATTAGAAATGTTAGCTCTAATGGAAGACAAGTAATGAGTGCGTCAATGCTATTGAGAACCATTCAGTGCCTCGTCAGCCAAGGACCGTAACCGATGATTATAGTAATCGTATGCATATCACATAAGGTAGTGTCAGTTCAGTTGAACATACTCGTTAGCTACTAGTATTTGACCACAGATGGCGTCTGATGGCATCACTGGGTAAGTAATAATGAGGTTAGACGCAAAGTATTATGTAATGGTGCTAAATCAGTTGATGAGGTTATGAATCTTTATCGACTGAGATGCTTGGGTTACGTGGTGCGTATGCCTGAACACCGATTAACACGACGCCCAAGGCTAACCGGTGTTGGGGACGGTAGGAAGAGAACGTGACATCAGTGCTTGAAGTTACTAACTTCTAGTCTCAGCCATGTTGGTAGATGTAGACTACTTGGTTGGGGTCCGCGTGACTTTCGTAACCAATAGTTGGAGACTGTAGGTGACATGGCTCAGAATCGATCACAATGGCGTAGGTGTATACACTCTCTGTCTTCTTTTAAACTATGAGATTAAAATCGCTTCATATCTTTCTTTCTACGAACTAATTCTTTCTTCCTATACTATATCCTTATTGCAATCTTTCTCCTATATATTACCACCTTTGACCTAATCACTCCTATGAATCCGGTGTTCATCTTGCTGTGCTAATGCGGTATGGCAACCTGGACCGATGCATATATGTGCCTGGTCCTACGTTGTAGCTGACTGACTGAGTGTCAGTTCATTGATACAAGTACTGTATACACTAAATGATTAATTGATGACACAGACACCATCCATTCCCATAAACACTAGTCACCCTAAAAACTCATATCATCCTGTATTATTCAAACTTGAAAACACTGTTTATTATAGACGAGGAAATAAAATTACAACTCACCATGAATAATAAATCTCAGTTGGCACACAACTGATACAGTTGTGGTACACATCTGAACAAAAGGTTCAGGTTTAATGGGATGTAATTATGGACCACAATTACAGTGAATAGCAATAATTTGTGAGTCTATTATTCGCTCGAAGTAATCAGCAGGGGTTGAACTTCTACCGGGAGGTTCACTTGTTGGCTTAGAATATGTCGATGACATAGTTCTCTTTGGTGAAGACGCTGACAAAATGCAGAGTCTTCTGACCACTCTAAGCAACAATGCAAGCATGTTCGGGATGCGATTCTCTCCCTCGAAATGCAAAATGTTGCTTCAGGATTGGGTTACATCGACACCCGAACTAGTGATAGGGAGTGAAGTAGTTGAGTGTGTCGACCGCTTCACTTATCTCGGAAGTCTCAGCCCTTGTGGTCTGTTATGTGACGAAATCTCAGCACGGATACAGAAGGCTCGACTAGCTTTTACCAACTTGCGTCATTTATGGCGTAGGCGAGATATCCGTCTATCAACCAAAGGACGTGTTTACTGCGCAGCAGTTCATTCCGTCCTACTTTATGGCAGTGAAACATGGTCGGTAAGAGTAGAGGATATTCGTAGGTTACTAGTATTCGATCATAGGTGTCTTCGAAACATTGCTCGTATTTCTTGGGACCATCGAGTAAGTAACGCAGCTGTTAGGAAACGGGTACTAGGTAAGGATGGCAAATCGATTGATGAAGTAGTGAAACTTCATCAGTTGAGATGACTGGGACACGTGTTACGTATGCCCAACCACCGACTGCCCCGACGTGTGGTGTTCAGTGGTATAGGAGTAGGTTGGAAGAAAGCTAGTGGCGGCCAGACCAAAACATGTCACAAATCCATGAAGTCACTGACAAGTGGTCTGAGTCATGTTGGTAGGTGTAGACTACCTGGTTGGGGACCTCCAGATGATAGCAACCGATGGTTAGAGACCCTGAATGACATGGCTCAAAATCGTTTGCAATGGCACAGGTGCATCCACTCTTTGTGTTCTCCCAAATTTCGATCTCCTGATTCCCCCTTGTCTCTTTTTTTTCTCTTCCCAAGTTTATTTCACTGTATTATACTCTTTAAGTAACATCTCCAAACACTAATCTTTCCGATTACTGCTTATACTCTTATTACCTCTACCACTACGGGATTTGAATCGACCACGGCATCTCTGTGCTAATGTGATATGACAACTCGAACTGATGTACGTACGTACGAAGTTCTACGTTGTTACTGACTGACTGAATATTTCCCACGACATTATCATTGGTTGAACACTGGAACTTGATGCACACTAAGTGAACATTACTCCTGACCAATAAGCTAGAATGCCAGTCACTGTTCATAACTGCAAACATTCACGTACAATGTGTAATTAGAAGCACATTGAAAGCTTGAGGATCAAACATGTACATGCTTTCCTTGAACTCAGTAAGTTTACTAACCAATTATATTTAATCACCAATGTATAGGATACAAATTCAATTGTGTGTCTCGTTTAAACTGTTTAGGTACGAAGCAAGCTGCATGTATGAGGATCGTTACTACGTCAGTTACATATGCAAATGGATATATCTATGCAATTGGAGGTCATAATGGTGAGTATGGAGGTCGTTTAGACTCTGCAGAAAGATATATCGTCAATGAAAATTTATGGCAAACTATATCTTCAATGAATCATATACGTAGCGATGGGTGGATTTGATGGTCGATATTATCATGATTCAGTGGAATATTATGAACCGTTGACGGATCAATGGACCTTAATCAGTCGAACAAATTCACCGAGAGGTGGAGAAGTGAGATGAAGTAGGAGTAATTCAGAGAATACAGTTATCGAAAATTATATATATATATATATATATATATATATATATATATATATATATATATATATATATATATATATATATATATATATATATAATTTTAGTTATTTTCGCGTGGGTTTGGGAAAAATAACGTTGCCAGAAACTGCTAACTGGCGGATTCCGAAAATTGATTCCGATACATGTGCTATACACTAACCCCCACCCCAAATGACTACTTGAGCGAAAACACAAGACTGAACGATAAAGTATATTGGGCTACAGAATAAAATACACAAATACTCATTTATACATGTACAACTCTAGCCCCCCCCCCTTGGAAATTTAATCCATTTTTTAGCCAATTAAATGCACTTGTCATTCAGGTCAATTCTGATTGCTATCGATTGACCTTCCCTATTTGGCTACTTCTGATTGACTTACCGTATCAACCATAGTCACGGGAAAGATATGAACAATGAAGACAGTATATACATCATGATCTGTACAGATACAGATACACAAAAGCATATCATGATAAAATGACAAGGATGGAGAAAAGAAAAACAAAAAAAGATTCATCTATGAAGTATCAGTGCTATCGTCTTCGTCAACATCTGATTGTTGAGAATAACCTTTTTTCCGAGGCTGTGAAGCAGGTTTATATTTTAATTGTTTCAAATGTGCCAGTTGTTGTTGGCTTTGTATAGTATGATGATAATGTGTAAATTGTGATGAAGTTGGTATATTTTGTAAATGTGTCACTAATTGAATATCCTTGGTCATAACTGTTACACGTCTTGCATGTATTGCGCATCGTTGTGCGCATTCGAATAAATGAACAATAAATGCTTCCGCAGCTTCTTGTAATGCCAAAAAACAGACAGCTTGCCAATTAAATGATAAATAGCTGGGACCAAGTGTACGAACAGTGATAGAACGTACTAAACGTGCAAATGGTAACTTCCTGTTTATTAAAATAGAAAAAATCACACATACATATATATGATACAATGGTGTATGTAAGAATGAATTATAAAAATTATAATAATCAGATATTAGGATGCAAAATGATGATGTAACTCACCGAGTACAGAAATTTGTAATTGACTTTGACTTATATTTTAATATGTGTGAAGGTCGGTGATTACTAATACTACGACTACTACTTGACTATTGTTCAAGTCGAAGTAGGTGGAGAGGAACTTCAATCATGTTTGCCTGATGGTTGAAAGTCGAAGACATTAATTGGTAAGCCACTGCTTTACTTACATTTGCTAGAATATTTTAAGTATGATTTCCAAGAAAACTAGACACTATGAAAACTCTTTACGATTTGAAAACCATAACTTAATCCTTTGGAGTAACTGTACAGGTATCAAAAGATCTATTGAAGAAAAACGACAGTTTTGTAGTTAAAGGAAATGTCATATAATCATTATGCCAGTGAATCGAATCCCGAATTCGTCTACTGGTATTTTAAGTGACCAAACAGTATTACCAGTCTCTTTCAAAATGAGTTATAATTAAAAGTCAAGTACATAAACCTGTACAATCACACGGTAGATGATTATGTTTTTTTCATTTTATATCCAATTATTCTTACACTAATTGTATAGTAAAGCTGATTTATATTAAGCAACCAATATTTCTTATGGACGGGGATCTGACTAGTCAATTAGCTAGAATAAAACTGTTTGCAATCAAACTACAAACGTAATTTTCAAAGTTAAAACAAACAGTAGTTTACGAGACACAGAAATATTGTATTATATTGGAATATCCCACTTGTAGATAAATTCTTGAGATCTACATCTGTAGTTCACTTGATAAGAATGATGAAAGTCTGTTATTAAATCTGTAAGTATTCAAGACACAACTGATTACTGGACAACCACGTGTGTTTAACCACCGCCTACCGCAACAAATAATTCTGGCTAGTGCGGCAGTAAATCGGAGGAAATTTAAGGATGGGCAAACTAAAATGTGATATCAGTCCATGAAATCATTGACGGTTGGTGCGAGCCATACTATTAGATGCAGATTACGTAGTTGGAGACCCAACGTCTGCGACCGTTTATCACGATAATCTTATGGATCACAATTAAGTAGTCTGAGTCTACCAACACGATCCAGTTCAATAGTCAACGACTTGATGAACTGATGTCTTTGTGTGACCGCCACTATCTTTTTTCAACCTAGTCCTACGTAACCCATCACCGCGTGTCAAGATAGGTAGTGGTTAGGGGGGCCTATCACAAGTCAGTCACTTAAATCGATGAAAATTCACTAGCTCCTCAATAAATTCGTCTAGTACCCTGCGTCACACTATAACACAGGCATTTCTGGTCAAATACTCTTGTATGTTTCATGATTTTAAAGGTTATGTAGTAAATTCACAAATTAAAAATGAAAACCGTTGTGGATTTTACTTGACTTCTGCTTGAAAATGGATATGTTGTCTAAATCACTGATGATAGAAGTTGAAAAACTTAGTCACTTATATTATACCCAAAGACTTATTTTATATATATATCATAAGCTTTTATTTAACCTATTTATTAGTTAGTCTCTCACAATTACAATCACCTTTTGATCTTGTACAAACGTTATTTTCTATTTTATGATATGATGTGGTCTGGTTTGCTTGTATAGAAACCCAGTATGTCTGAAATATATGATTCATCTAGTGGAAACTGATATTGGTGTTCTGGACTCAACAGATAGAGCTAGGCAACAAGGACTAATAAGGACTCTAGACTTTTAGTACCGGTCAACACATCATTGGCTTGACACAGTGCTAGGATTGTATAAGTCACGTTTTGATTAGCGGTCTTATCACGTGACAATTAACAGGTTAAAAGTTATAACAACTTACCTTAAAAGAAGATTTGTACTACGCTGAAAAGCTCTTATTTCTCTTAAAGCGATTTCACAGGGAGCGGCTCTTCTCTTCGGCCTAATTTGATTATCATTTGAAGCACTTCCTGTTGTTTTACTTGAATGTTGTGTTTGAATTAACTGTCTATTTCGACCGGAGCTCTGAGATTGTCGATTTCGAATAGGTGAAACACGACGATTACTCGGTTTAGATGTTTCTTTACGATTCACATACATCCAGTTGTTTTGACGAGATTTATTTCCAGCTTTGTTTGTTTTTTGATAGTGAAAAAAAATAACAGAAATGAAGTAATCAAAGGTAGTGGTAAAATATCAGTCAAGATAAAGATCAATTTTAGCCATAAAAAGTAGCATAGCTATGTTAATAAATATAATAGTATGATCTTATTCAAAGTTGTTTTGAAACATGACAGTCATTCATCAATAAAGTAATTAGAAAAATTAAGTACATCTGTAGAGAATAATGAGAAAAAGATGATTTTTTTTAAATCTCAGCTACAATATAGTCGAGGAAAGACTTTTTATTTGGTTAAACTTAAATTGTGTTTTTTTTTTCTGGTTGACAGTTGGTTTGAGGATGTGTTGAGAATAGAGTGAGATTTTGGATCATTATTATATAAATATATAGGTTCAGTTAGTATTGTGGAAAAAGTATATATCGACTGCAAAAAGTGTACTCTTTTCGAACGTATCTCCTAAGCATTATCAGGCAAATACAGCATGAATGTAATATAATAAAGACACATTTTTAAACATTTCGTTAATTCAGGTTAATTAGACTCATCAAACGTTGATTGTTAAATCATCTTTAAGGTTAAATAAACTAGCACAAAAGGGACACAAATCACGAAGTCATATACAAAAAAAGGCTTTGTCGATTCATAACTGATCTGTGTTGACAAACGATTTGTTCAATCTCTTATTGAACTGTAGTTCCAAGATCTCTAATTTTTAGTTATTATTGATACCTGTGATATTTATATTTATTTCATTTAACTGTTTTTCATTGTCCTTCAGACTGTTTCATAAATTGTGTTTGGTACTTATAATTTTTTCAATCATTCTGTTAATGGAGCATAAATTGCCGCCAAATGCCGTAGTACGGCGGAGAGTGGGGAGAGTCCGTTCTCCCTCTCAAAATGCTTTCATATGGCCACGCGTATATAGTCTCTTCCAGGGAAATTTTACTCACTGCCTTCTCGTGTCGGGGGTGTTGTTGACGAAACTGAGAGGACGAAAATAGAATATCCGGTGATTTGACCGGGTCGGTGGACGCGTAGAATCCACCTAGGGGAATTAAAAAACCCTGACTACAAACCAACGGTGCACATGGACTCCAGGATCATGAAGGAACGAATGGCGTATGAACCTATTGTGGGCCACCAGCTACCATGGGACCGCACCTCATTACGATGCTCCACTGCCTTGTGGATCAGACCTTTAGGTCAAAGGCTCGGGGTGTGGCCCTCTAAGAAAACCAGCTGCTTCAGTCTCGGCAGCCGGGCAGTATCACAGCCCTCACACAAATCTGATGAAATATGTGTGGCGCATATGTATCTGGTTCCCCTTGTACCAATAGTTGTGTTCAAATAAATAAATAAATATGGAGCGTAACTTAATTATTTTGTTATAAACTACTGTGTTAAATAACTATAAATACGATTGTATGATTTTAGCAAATGACATTGTTGGAAAGAATATTTTCTTTATTAAACTAAAGCGAGACTATAATTTATGGACGAATCAATCACGTATAAGAGATAAGAGGTCTTGGATTTTGGTGCGAAATTCCCTTATCCATTTGGATAAATAGAGTTTTAGCATTATAGCTAATGTCAATTCATGATGAAAACCCTAAATCTAATTCCTAACCTTAACCGTCAACTGTAAATCATAATTCGAATTCCTCACACAAGTTTATAACTTTCATTCAGTACTAATTATTAGGTGGACACTCTCAAAGTCATTTTGGTATCGCTTAAAAGTTGTCTATAAACTATAATCTCACCTAAACTCTCTTTATTTTATTATCTTGCAATAGAAAAAATATATATTCATCTCCTTTGATAGAAAAAACAATATACCAATAGTCAATGACTGTGATTGAAATATAGCTGATATTTTTAGTAAAACATTGAGAAAAATAGTATTTATTTAAAATCATTACAGTATCAATGGAGTTAATCCAACAACAAATATAACTATATTAATCTTTTACACACTACAACATAAATGAATTCAGGCTTTTTTGAACAGATAAAATAAGACTCAATACAAGTTAATATCACTCCGGATAAAAAAAAGACTGATTTAGTATCTACGTGGATGATTCATTAAGATGTAGGAAACCCTTGATCTATATACTTTGAGTTACTCGAAACTAAGCGGTTAATTAACACTTATTAGTTAGCTTCGAAACAAACTATCACCGACTGTTGAGGTATGTTATTGATGATATAAACTTTTATTTTATTCAAGTAAATTAACAGAATGTATGTCAACAGATAAAATGCAACGAAACGATATGACCGAGTGATAACTGCTCAAGAGACCAAATAATCTTAAATTGATCTGAGACCAATGACAGGACTATTAGTCATCAAACTAGGTTTCTATTTAGTTTACATACAAAAATAAATATGATTAGATAACATTTGGTAAATAAGTAATTAGATAATAGGAGCTTTATGAATAACCTACTAGCCTACGAATTAAAGTTCTGACCTATTACGTTTACTTTGTGAACCCATCATATCGTATACTGAAAATAAAGCACATTATAAACTCCTATGGTAGCTCCATAAAACTAGGGCCACATAATGGCTGGTTGAGCCACACAGTTATGCTCTCCAAGCTGGTCATAGTTTTGAATATTATTACAAAAAGGATTATATAAATTGTCTAGTGAGGAATTATATAAAATGTATCAATACTTGAAACTAAACAGTCGACTTATTAGGTAGACTATTGGCTTCTCTATTACATTTTGGTTTTATAGAGATCTTCTTACCATAGAAAGTATTTCGGAAACTTCCACAATCTTCCATTATTCTGATGTAGAATGTCAGTCAGTCAGTTAGCTACAACGTAGGACCATGCACATAAATGCATCGATCCAAGTTGTAGATATAGAATGAAAGGTTATAAAATATATTTATCCATCTTGTACATAATAATATCAACCAAACTTATCAATGGTGGTCTAGCTTCAACTGACTCATGATTTCAACTTGTGAAATTTCTTAAACTCTCCACAAAAACCCATTCTGATTATAATCAACTGCTCACTAGTGACTGACTTCAGGAAAAACTCCTGGAGTTCTAGTGAGAAGCCGTTACCAGTGGAGTTCACAACCGGTCTGTTGTGAGATAACAACTCACTGAAGACAATGGTGTACGGTGGCGCAACTTCGTGGATTGGTTGAAGTGGTTAAGTGCTCGCGCGCGAAGCCAGTAGGTCCTGGGTTCGAGCCCCGTGTGGTGCGAGATCGTGGATGCGCACTGCTGAGGAGTCCCATACCAGGACGAAACGGCCATCCAGTGCTTCCAGGTTTTCAATGATGGTCTAGCTTCAACTGACTCACGATTTCAACTTGTGAAATTTCTTAAACTCTCCACAAAAACCCATTCTGTTTATCAAGAACATTGAAAGAAGTTCACAAAATTTAGTAAAACACTTGCATAGTTTTAAAATACAAAGAGAAATATCAAACATTATTGATCAACTTAGCTAATCAACTTTTGAAATATGCTAATTCTGAAAGTCAATTCGTTTGCTGAAAAAAAAAACATATAAATGATGATTTATTATCCTTACTCTATAAATTTTATCTATTGATTGTTATTTTATGCTGAAAACTAATTTTCAAACGAGCCAGTGACTTAAATCATATTCACTATTAAAATATGAAGAAAAACGGTTAAGAAATGACCTGCAAATATAGTAATTTTAAAAGTCGATAGGTGTGACAATCGTGTATGATTTTAATTTATCATAACGGACAGTTTATCATTAATACCTGCTCCCTAAAAAGAAAAAAATTAAAAAAAACGATGTGGACAAGTTTGTAATAACTATCAAATTAGAAAATTATGCCTGGACTACATACTTGCAATAACTCGTCGAGGTTGAGAAAGTTGTTTATTTACAGAGCGGCGAGATGAACTGACATTTGTGTTTACATCTGACTGTTCATCGAGAGGAGCTGCTTGATTTGAAACGCTAAAATAAATACACAAATAATAAATAATGATTATATATATGAGAGACTAACAGAAAGTGAATCTACGACTTCTTATTTATTCATTTATCTATTTGAATACAAATATTGGCACCAAATACATATGCGCCACACAAATCATGCGATTTGTGTGAGAGCTGGGATACTGCCCCTCCCTGGCATTGTGGGCTTGTTTAAATTTAGTGTAGGAACCCCCAAATGTCCTAGTACGACCGAGAATGGGGAGAGTCAGCTCTCCCTCTCCAAATGCTCTTACACTGCCACGTGCATACAACCACTGCCAAGGAAGTCCTACTCACTGCCCTCTTGCGGCATTACTGTTGTTTACGAAATTGAGAGGACAAAAAGCGAGTATCCGGCGCTTTATTCGTGTTCGTGTATTTGGAGGATCAACCTAGGAGAATTGGAAAACCCTGATTCCAAACCAATGGTGCACATGGACTTCAAGATCCTGAAGGAACAACTGGCGTATGAACCACTGTTGGTCACTCGTCAAGCCATTTTACACTGTTTACCGTTGTTGCTACCTTGATGTGGTGGTCGAGCTTGCCTCTCGTGATGAACCAACGAGCTATCCTGGCTGGAACAATCGTTCCTCAAAGTCCTACCATGCCAGGCAGGTCGGTTGAAGAACGGTAGGGCTAAAAACAGGAAACTCAAGGTCTGAAGGCGAAGTCCTACTGCCGACTGTATAAAGGTGTGACAGCAGTAAGGTGTTTCCTTCAGACAACCAGCATAGCAGCGATATTGCCTTCCAACAAAGAGGGGCGGGGTTAGAAAAGGTTGACTCCAAAAATGCACACCTCACCTTACCCCACGGATATCTGTCTCCGGCAGTAAAGTCTTAACAAGTACGGAGCTAACGCGAAAACTACTGACAAAAAGGTTGTGTGTAACTAACCTCAAGCAGTTGTCCCTTGAGCACTTCGGTCACGCTCTCAGGTCACTAAGACCACCTCCAATCCAAATTCGTTTTCAGGCACCTTCAGAAGAACCCTTCCACGGTGTGGGCGACCGGGAAGGGATAACCGCTTCGTACCTCTAACAACACCCAATACCACTGAATTCATAATCAATCTCCTCCATCAAATTTTATTATTCCCGCTATGTCGACTTTCAACACTAAACCTCCTTTTTTGGCTTCCACCTCACGTGTCATCATAGCCAACGATTCTAGTGCGCAAAACACTGTCCCAGGTATACTGAAACTTCGCTCCAAACTACATATTAGAGCCTTTGACGTACGAACCCTGTGTCAAATATGCAAGCAGGCCTCCTTGGCTAAAACCCTAGAATCTCGTACCATTAGTGTATGCTGTCCCCAAAACACGCATACAGGATCCTAGTGTGGTGGTGATCTTCTAATGCAATTGTGCTCAGACAATCGTTTATTTTTAACAAACACTAATTTTAAGCATAAGAAGAGACATCATCTAACATGGCGACCCTCTACACCAAACCAACGATGGACTAACATAGACCATATTGCCATCAGTTATCGTTGTTGAGGGTCGATAGAAGATTGTCGCTCATTCTGGAGTACCTGACTGAACTCTTAATATGCTTCAATACGGGCATACATCTGCTTGCACCTCACTGGACGCAGAAAAGCCACACTAAGAAAACCCTTGAGAATTGAATTGAGTGATGAAAAAGCCGAAAATAGATTCCAGGAACAACTGAGGTCACACTTGGGCAGTTCTGTAAACGAGGCTGACCCAGATGTTGCTTGGAAAGATATACAAACAGCAGTGACATCCATTATTGATTTAGACCAAAGGGTTACAGAAAAATCCATTGCACTGACAGATTCTCGTAAACTCTGAACACAATGAAGAGCGAAAACAAATCAGATCTACGTTAACTAAAAGTCTAAGGAACGACCGTGAGCAGTGGTGGGCAACGAAAGCAAAAGAGATGAAAAAAGCGGCAGCTGTAGGTAATACAAAACAGCTCTTCGGACTAATAAAAAACTGGGATTACTAAGTCAAGTGTGAGACTATCTCGGGAAAAGACGACACTCTTATATGCTCCCAGTCCAGACGTTTAGAACGGTGAGTGGAACACTTCAGGGAGTAGTTCAGCTGGCCTTCAGCTACCCTACATCTACCCACCATTCCCAGACAGCGTGAATGGAACATTGAAGTAGGTCCCCCAACTCTAGCTAGAATTCCAAAGGTTATAGGTAATGAGGAAAAGAGCAGCTGGTCCAAATGGATTGGCTCCAGAGGTCTTTAAGTATGGTGGTCTAGTTTTAACGATTAGGTTGACTAATATTGTAGCCAAAATATGGGAGCTGGACGTAATCCCATCTGACTGGTCACAATCAATGATTGTCCCAATATATAAGATAGGGTCAAAATCATCCTGTGGCAACCATTGAGGGATTAGTTTGGCCAATATAACATCTAAAATAGTGGCCTCAATAATTATCGGACGCCTTACTAAGACTCGTGAACTGCAAACACGAGAAAATCAGACCGCAACCAAGTAGTCTGCATCTACTAACATGGCTCAGATCAGAAGTTACTGACTTCAAGCACTGACCGCGCCTAACTTTCTTTCAATCATCTCCAACACTAGTCAGTATTGAGCGTCATGGTAATCGATGGTTGGGCATACGTAAAACGTGACCCAACCACCTCAGTAGATGAAGATTTGCAACCTTATCAACGGATTTATCACCATTCTCTAATATCATGCGTTTAACCTCACTATTACTTACCCGATGATCCCAGCAGATACGAGCAATATTTCTAAGGCATCTGTGATCAAATACTAGTAACCTACGAGTATCTTCAACTCTTAATGGCCACGTTTAGCAGCCGTAAAGTAGGACAGAATGAACTGCAGTACAGTATACTCGTTCCTTAATTGGTAGATGGATATCTTGCTTTCGCTATAAGCGACGTGAGTTGACAAAAGCCGAACGAGCTCTTCGAATCCGTGCTGAGATTTCGTCAGACAGCAACCATTATGACTGATCAGACTTCCAGAATGAGTGGATTTGTCAACGCGTTCGACTACTTCACTCCCTAACCTTAGTTTAGGTGTTGAAGTAGGCCAGTCCTGGAGCAAGAACTTGCATTTAAAGGAGAAGCGCATCCCAAACATCCTGGCATTGTTGTTCATTGGTATGAGGCACCAAATATATATGCGCCGCACTTCGTCATTTGATTTGAGCGCTGGAATAATCTCGGGAGCCCGAACCGAAGGTGGTTTTATTAGGGGCACACTACTTCCCGAGCATTTGACCTAGAGGTCCAAAACACAAGGTAGTGGAGCAACGTAAGGAGATGTAATTCCACGGTAGCCAGTGTGCAACAATAGGTTCATACACCAATTGTTTCTTTATGATCCTGGAGCCCATATGCACCATTGGTTTGGAATCAGGGCTTTTCAACTCCTCTAGGTGGATTCGCCGTATCTACCGACCTGGTTAAAGCGATGGATACTCACTTTCCGTCCTCTTAATCACGTAAAAACACCCCTATCGCGAGAAGAAAATGAGTAGGACTCCCCTGATAGTGGCTGTTTACGCGTGGTCATGTGAGATCGTTTTGAGGAAAGCTGATTGTCCCATTATCGGTCATACCAGAGCGTTTGGGGGTGCCTTCGCCAAACAGGACTATGTCATTCGAGTATTCTAAGTCAATGAATAGACCTCCTGGTGGGAAATCAATCCCCATAAGTTCAGACGGTGAGAACGTTATTTCCAGCAGTAGACCCATGATGAAACTGAACAGAAGTGGAGATGGTGAGCGGCTTTGTCGGATACTTGACGTTGCGAGATCAGATAACAATGTGCCATAAGCTCTGACTCGACTGGTAGTGTTCGAGTAAAGAGCCCTTACAAGGTTTACGTACTTCTGTGGTACGCCTTTCAATGAGAGACAAGGCCACAGAACCTCTCGGTCTACAGATTCAAATGCTGTTTTAACGTCAAAAAAGCACAATTGTCAGACGCCGTGCTTTCTCATTGACATAATCAGTTTATTCAGGCGTTTAGGAGGTAAGCAATGTAAGCTGAATCAGACTACATTACTTAAATTAATTGAAGTGATTTACTATCGATTAGAGAACATCTGGTTCATATATTGACCCAATAAATCACATGTGAATGGAAGGGGTAGTGTGTCTGAAGATTGAGTGAAAAACTTGTGCTTAGTAAATGAGTCCCTTTACTTTATTTTCTTGATACACAGTGCTCTGAACCATAATGATGTGATAAGTAAAGACAACGAATTATTTGAAACCTAAAGTACGACAGTTTTCGGCATATTTAATAATTTGGTTAGCATTTGGATTCAGGACGAAATATATCGTATTATAGACTCATTAGACAGAAGTACCTGTATTTCGTGTTGAGGTCTATATTGAGATTTCAACCCAGTACCTCTTATTTCAAACACCAACTCGTCATTCATTGAGCTAACGTCCACATGGTCAATGACTTATTCCGCGGTCATGAAGTTGTTGGTAAGGGTCCATAATATCTTATAATTCACATCTACGAGTGCAGTTGAGCAGTTTATTTTGTGACATGTGTATCTCTAGTGGGTTATCTTAACATAGGTTAAGTTACGATATTTTAGTATATCTGATAACTGGTCAACAGTAGTTCTGAATATCAACAACAGGAAGTTAAACTAACCATAGTACACTAATTTCAGAACTTTATGACAACCCAAATTTAGTCGCTTTCCCCTTCCTAAAAAAGAAGTAACTTTTATAATTCCAGCAACTGGTTAGCAATAGGATCACTAAGTACTTCATTGTGGTTGAGAACTTAGCTTGGATACGGTAGGAAATCAAACACTTGGAGAATTTAGAAAATAAGTACTGAAAACCGACAACTTTACTCGTCGTATGACACGATGACACAAACAAAACGCAAGACAAAACCAGGTGCTTCGTATCATACATTTATTGCCTTATTAAACCAAAGCCAAACAATTAACATGCACAGACAAAGCTAATTCAGAGTGGAGTATCTTGCCCAGAAAATGCACTACAACAACCGCCTGAAAACTGGATTTTGATAATTTCAAAACATTGGGCCGATGGTTTCGTCAAAAAATGACTTCACCCGTAACCGTAGAAATTTTTAGATGTAGATAGGGAAAAACCTTACAGTTACTTTTGTGAAAAGTGCTTTCTTCAGACAGTAACTTGAGTTGTCAGACACATGTCTGCATTACTACTAGATGAAAAGATTATGGGCAATAATGTCGTTTCTACTCCGAAAAAACAGAAACTTACACAGTGAATTAAAAATTTAACTGTGGAAAAAGCGATGATAGATACGTTACCCTAGAAATTTTGGAGCGAGATGAAAGCAGAAAGTAAAGAATGGTAGCGCTGGAAAAACCTGTACGCTGTTATACTGTAAAGTCATCTATATACATAGTACAGAACCTAATTTAATATGTTGAAGCTATGTGAACTAGACAGCAGAAAACTGTCGAGAAATTTACACTCATTAACATGAGACTACTTACTTCATTTGTTCTATGACTAGTCTTGCTTTTTTACTACCGCCCCCAGCCAGTGGAATATGGGGTGTTGCAAAATTTGTTTGTCTGGTATTTCGTTTTTTATAGTTTTTCGGCGTACTTTCGTACACCGGGCCACTCAGATCGCCCATCACAAAAAAACAAAGTCAACTAGCCGCCTTGGGTCATTTACTTTCATAGTTGAATCCGTTAAACACAACCCTTCAAATGAACAATAAATCCTATGGTTTTACAATAAGATTATATCGGTGAACCGATTTTTCGCATAACCATCTTAATTTTATGGTTAAGCTTTCAGGACATAACAACATTTAGTGACGTTAGTTATGGAAATCAAGTGTGATGGTATGATATTTTCAGTTTCAGTCTTCAGTCTTCAGTAATAAGGATAGTAGGTTGATGAACCTGTGTTAATCCTGACACATTGCTTTCCAGTGAAGGTCCAGCTTTTCCTTGAAAGTATTCACTGATGGGGCTGATACCACTTGTTCGGGTAAGGCGTTCCAATCATTGACTACTCGATGAGAAAAACGAGATCCCACTTTAAGTTTATTAGATCGTGGTTTATGAACCTTCTTGCTATGACCTCGGAGATTAATAGTGCTGGAGGGAGCAAAAAGATAAGACATATTAACACCCGAATCATAATTAAAGATACGAAATGCCAGTATAAGGTCACCTCGTGTCCTACGATACGACAAGGGGAAAAGATTTAGGCATTTTAAACGCTCATCGTAAGGGAGTCTAGAAAGACCCTTCACTAATTTCGTTCCCACACGCTGGACACGCTCAAGGGAGTTAGTATCCTTTACCAGACACGGGCTAGCTGCTTGGATACAGTACTCTAAATGTGGTCTAACATATATGGGATATAAAATTCTAAACATTTCCTCGTCAAAAGATTTGAACGCTCGGCGAAGTGACCATAACGCACGAAAACCTTTGACAGCGGCTGCTTTGCAATGCTTAGTTGTTTTTAAATCATGACTTAATATTACTCCTAAGTCTTTATGCTCTTGAACGCATGGAAGAGGTTTACCCTCAATAGTGTAACGGTAACTATTACCGTGACCGATGTGCATTAGCACACTCTTCCTAGCATTGATTTCTAAGCCCCACTCTCGAGCCCATCTAACTAAATCGTCTAAGTCAGCTTGAAGATCCACATGATCAGCCGCACTTTTTATTGTTCTCCAGATTTTTACATCATCCGCAAACAATAATGTCGACGACCTAAGTAACAGCGGTAAATCATTAACGTAGAGAAGGAAGAGCAGAGGGCCTAAGATGGTGCCTTGGGGTACACCACTTTTGACCGGCTTCCAATCGGATAGCGTTCCGTTGACTCTAACTCCCTGTCTGCGGTCACATAAGAAATTTCCTATCCACTCATGTACAGTACCTATTATTCCGAAGCTCGTGAGCTTCTGCATAAGACCTACGTGTGAAACCTTGTCAAACGCTTTGCTGAAATCTATGAATATCACGTCGACAGACAGACCGTTATCTAGGGCTGCTGTCCAATCCTCCCTCGCAATAAGCAAGTTAGTCAAGCATGAACGCTTGTTACGAAATCCGTGTTGCTCAGGAGCTAACAGATTGTGTAAATCTATGTGGCTTAGCAACCTAACCCAAATTATTTTTTCGAGTAACTTAACGACTACGCTAGTTAGACTGACAGGCCGGTATTTAGATGCTATCTGTCGCTGACCGTCCTTAAATATAGGACTAACTATAGCGTCCTTCCAATCTCTAGGGAGTTGAGCGAGTGAGAGGGACATGTTGAAGAGTGTCGCAAGCGGTTTTGAAATAATGTCCGCAAGAGATGACAGCAACCGTGGATGTAACCCGTCAGAGCCCGGTATCTTACCAGGTTTGAGGTTAGTTATCAACGGAAGGACAGTTTCCTCAGTCACCTGTACAGATTCGATGGTTGGTGTCCCACTCACACCGAGATACCAACCATCGAATCTGTACAGGTGACTGAGGAAACTGTCCTTCCGTTGATAACTAACCTCAAACCTGGTAAGATACCGGGCCCTGACGGGTTACATCCACGGTTGCTGTCATCTCTTGCGGACATTATTTTAGTTTCAGTTTCAGTTTGGAGAGGACAGGAGGCTTGATGGCCTATGTTAGTCCTGGCAGTGGTGGTCTCTCAGTTGATCCAACTTTCTTTTGAAAGAGTCGACGGATGGAGCCTCAACCACGTGCTGAGGTAGTGAATTCCACTCGTTGATTATTCGATGGGAAAGTCGATAGTCAGCTGACAAGTAATTTGTTCTCGGCTTGTGAACTTTTTTGGAGTGTCCTCGAAAATTCTCTGTTTTGGAAGACAAGAAAAATGAGGGCATATTAGGTGCAAATTTATCACTAAGCAATTTGTAGACTGTAATTAAGTCGCCTCTAGTTCTGCGATATGACAACGAGAAAAGGTTCAGCTTGGCCAGTCGAACTTCATACGGAAGCTTCCCTATTCCGGGAATCAGCTTAGTCGCCATTCTCTGAACCTTCTCCAGAAACTCACTGTCTTTTTTTAATCAGGGGCTAGCCGCTTGTATGCAGTACCCAAGTTTAGGACGTACGAATACTACATACAAAGTCAAAAACGTTTTAGCGTCGACATGACTAAAAGCTCTACGTATTGACCATAAGGTTCTAAAAGCTTTGGCGGCTATTGCAAGGCAGTGTGCAGTAGTTTTTAAGTCTTGACTTGCGATAACTCCCAAGTCATTACATGTCTGGACGACAGGTAACTCAGTGTTATTCATCGTGTATGTATCTGTGCCTTGATGACCGATATGCATCACAACACACTTGAAAGTATTTATCGGCAACTGCCAGGTTTGACACCATTCAGATAACTTCTTCAGGTCATTTTGAAGTCATAAGCTATCACTCTTACATCGTATCGTTCTCCATATCTTGACATCGTCAGCATATAGCAAGACCGATGATGATAGGAGACAAGGAAGGTCATTTACATACAAGAGGAATAGCACTGGCCCCAAAACTGTACCCTGGGGCACTCCACTAAGCACAGTTTCCTAGCTAGATAACTTTGGGTTCACCCCTACTCTTTGTTGACGCCCAACTAAGAAGTCTTTTATCCACATCAATAAATTGCCTTCAATCCCGACTTTTGTTAGCTTGTATAACAGCCGGTTGTGCGGAACTTTGTCAAAAGCTTTACTGAAATCAATGAACGCGACGTCTACAGGTAGCTTTTGGTCCTTAAGAGCGCACCAGCTTTCACGAGCCACTAATAAGTTAGCGAGACAAGAATAACCTCTTCTGAAGCCGTGCTGCTTCTCCGAGAGGATCCGGTTTTTATCGAGATACTTAAACAGCTCCTTCCGAATAATCTTTCTAAGATTTTAACAACCACACTAGTTAGGCTAACGGGGCGGTAGTTCTCAGGTTTGTGTTTCGTAATTGTTTTGAAGACAGGACTTACTATGGTGTTTTTTCAGTCTTTTGGTAAACGACCCTGCGTAACGGTTAGGTTAAAGCATGTACTTAAAGGGCTTGCAACGAAGTTAGATAATTCCTTCAGTAGACTAGGATGAAATTCATCGGGCCCCGTGGATTTGCCTATTTCAGGCTTATTTAGCAGACCAAAGACATCGAGTTCTTTAATGGTCACGCTATCCAGTGTGTGTATGGGGGATCTGTATACGCTGACGGGAAGGGCGCTTCTATGATATATACGTTGCCAAAGAATTTCGAGAACACTTGAGCCTTATCAAAGTCGTCCTCCACTAATGATGAAGCAGTACTGTCTCCCCATAGAGCAGGAATATTTCCTTTTCTTCTTGTCCTTTGGTTAATATAGGAATACAAGCGTTTAGGACATTCTATGGATTCCTTAACAAGTTTTTCTTCATACAATTTTCTAGACTTACGGAGGATCAAGGCACAAGTATTCCGAGCCTTTCGATACTGAGATTTTGACTCATTAGTCCCCAGTAACCTAAATATATCCCACATTTTCCTTTTCTTACGGAGAAGGATACGGACCTCCCTACTGAACCATGGTGTTGAGTTTTTCGGCCCCTTTGGTATAGTCCAAGGGATGTCAGGTGTGGCAACTTTTAAGTACGAATTTCGAAATGCATCCCAAGCCGTTTCAATGGAGGACTCTGGGTCTATTGTCCAATCTATTAACGATGCTGCGTGCATGATGTCTGGTATGTTTGCTTTCCAGACGTTGTGTCTGGACTGGACTGACGCGTGCTCGTGAATGGCAGTTATATGGAAGTCGCAAGTTAAAACTGCGTGATAACTTTTACCTAGGGGTGGCATATGATGGAGGTTCGCAACATCATCCTCATAGTGGGTCAGTATAAGATCTAATAAGAATGAATCAGTGTCCGATCGTACCTTGTCGCTTCTTTCACATGTTGCACTAGGACACATGTGATAACCCCATCAACTAGTTCCCGCTCAAAGGAATTCTCCGACGATTTAGTTCGCAGATTTTCCCAGTCTACCATAGGTGCATTGAAGTCCCCTAGGATTAGACATCGACCACTTTGGGACCAAGTATTGAGACTGCTTAACAGGATCTTATTTGCCTCACAGCTTGGACTACGATAGACCAAACCAATCAGCAGCTCTTGTCCCTTGCATTGCAAGCGGCAACTAACTAATTCACACGTCCACTCTCACGGGATACACTATCGATAATGGTAAATTGGGTAGCATTCCTAATGAATAGAGCTACTACCCTCCTTTGCGCTTTTGTGTTCTGTCGGCACTTACTAACGTGAAAATCAAGTTCCACACTATCTATAGACTGTGTCAGCCAGGTTTCTGTTACTGTGATTATGTCTGGCTTTGTAGAGTCAATCTGTACACCTAGTTCCGATCGCTTATTAAGTAAGCGTCTGGCATTGGTGTAACAGATCCGAAGCCTGTTTAAGTGCCTTCGTGCTTCACCTAGAGTGGCTTCGGCATCATTCTCTGTCGAAGCCTTACAACCCGAAAATTTACAAGTTTCAGGTCCTTTTCGCCAGCGCCTAACCTGAGTTGTAGTTCTTTGTCGCCTTCACATCTTTTAACATGGTCTGCCAACGGTAGGTCCTTTTGGATAAAGACTCCTGAACCCTTTAATTTGTGTCCATTCTGTGAAATTAAGTCACGGTCGTTCGAAGAGCTGA